TGGGGGGGATATATAAAATATGGGGTTGTGTTGAGTAAAGAAGTGCCTATGCACTGGAAAAAAACTACAGTACCCCAAACTGCCCATAGCCAATGCTTTAACAGCCTTTATTGCTCTCGCTTCGATATTCACAACAATGTCTTGCGTGTGTGTGACAATTGCTGTTCACATACATGTGTACCCAGTGTGTGGGTGTTGGGTAATGGGGTGCTTTCACATTTGTTTTCACATTTTTTTTAATTACAATTTACTTTTGTAACATTTTGTTTATTTAACTCTAGCTAACAAGCCTCCGATGTGATGGTATAGGCAGGGTAGGTTCTCCTTATGAAAAGATCAATGTCACCCATGTTTTCCACTGCAGCAGATCAAGTACATATTGTGCTTGATTAGCTACTTACCCAGCTTCAGGTGCTGGGGAATGACAGCTCTGAACCTGGGAGGGATGTAATGTTTTTTGCTTCTGGGCTCATTTGTCACAGAGGAGATCTCGAATCAGAGGTTACAGTCATCAAGTGGTTATTTAAAATGATTGGTTTGTCGTCACTTTCTTACCTTGTAATCAATGTTTTCTTCTCCATACTTCCATTTTAGAAATAAATGCCTATTGTGCAGAGCTTTAGCCAAGACTTCTACTGCATGGTACACATATGGAGTCACACCCGAGGACAGGAATTTATTTATATTGGGTGCAACAAATTCTATAGTTTCATTTTCTCCACTAATTGTGCCATTAATTGCAAAGAAAGTACTTCCGTGTTCACCAAGGGACATAGATTGCTGAAATAATGTCACATTCAGTAAATGAGCAATTTTGGGGTATTTTTGAATGCTGTGAAAAAAATCCTCAGCTCTTATAATCCGTTCATAGAAAGTTCTATAGCCAAGCTACAATTAATTTCCAGAAAATCTGCGTCTTCGTTCAAAGAACTGGAGGTCCAAGATGGAGGAAATATGAAGGTTTTATCATGGAGCTCTTTTTCATTAAATATCAAAAATGTTAAAAAAGAGGACAGAATAGGATCCGCACAAGATTATCACACTGGCTTTAGAGTTTTGTAAAGTTTTGCATGTTGAAAAATTTGGATTGGCAGAAATATCAGATGTCAATTTAATTATGAAGGCAGCACAAATTCCATTATCTGTCATGGACTTGGTTAGTCTCTGAAGCGCATTCTCCCCAGAATCATCGTCTGACACCAATATCCCAACCCAGATCCAGCCAAAGTGTTTTAGGATTTCAGTTATTATAGTACTGTGGATGTGATCATTTTGAACTGTTCTGAACACATGTGGATAAATGTGTCTGTTGGTTAGAGAGTAGTCCATCGCTCCAAAACTTATCTGAAAATCATCAGAATAAAATACAATATTCTCCTAACATCTTAGCATGGAAATTTATGCTAAACACATATATTGGCTAAATACAAGAGCCATTCTTGTAGCTGGCCAGCTAAGACCAGTCCTAGGTTTGCTAATATGGTTCACATATATGTGTATACCAAACCTGCCAATAACCTCAGTACAGTGTATATGTACATATGTTAAAGCCAAAAGCAGAATCATTGCTGTGATTTATGTCTTTGATTGTTATATGACATTTATATATTTCATTGTGTTAGCAGAAGCAGAAAAGGAAAATATGCCTTTAAGATTTAGTTAAAGGTGAGCCAATCACAGACAGCCTCATACTGTACAGAGCCTTAACCAATCCCAGCCAGTTTCACATTTGTGCCTGTGTAAAACTCCCTGCTAGGATTTTCTAGAGACACATGCTCACCAGACAGAGAGGAGGAAAACAGACAAAGTTCCAATCAGAAAAGCTTTATGGAAGTAGAGAAGGCCAAATAGGTATTTAATGCACTTGTGTGTTCCTCTATTGTTTAACAGTGCAGGTAGATCTGTGTGTAAAACTGTTGTATGTGTTTACTTGTAGTTCCACCGAACTTACGAATCAAGTCACTGTAGAGTAATCTAACAAATTTATAAATCCAAGTGAATTTATCAATCTATCGAAATATACAGAACGAATTTATCGAATCTATTGAACCTATCAAGATAAGCTATCGAATCAACCCAATGTAATACGAATTAAACGATTGTAATATGAAAGAAATAAGCCATTGTAAGCAGTGTTATATGAAGAAGATTGAAGTTATTAAAGAAGTTAACTAAAGTATTCGGTGTGCTCTTTAAACCTACTGCATCCATAGAGCGGCATTGGAGGAATTACAGAGTAAAGTCAGTCTAATCAAACAAAGAAACAGCAATTGCATAATTTTTCTAATGCCACAGCGCACTAGGCACCAAAGGATGCTGCGCCTGCCACAATTCTTACTTGAATCTTGCAGTTCTTTGTGCATTTCTTGAAGGTCTGTGCAGGAATCCAGCATGAAACTACACCTGCACTTTGCCTCTATGCAGGATTCCTGTTATATAGACTGGTCACTGCTACTCTCTCTGGTTGTACGGGGTGACTGGTCTTGTCTCCGCCCACTCCTCTAGTTTTCTGTAGACAGCCTGTATTGGATGAGTCTGCTTGGCCCCACCCACAGCATCACTCTTTGCACAGACTAGTGATGATGGCTGCCAACAGTATGATTTGTTTCCCACAATTTATATATCTATGACAAAAATCTGGATAAGCTGTGTGTCTCCATATCACCTGTTAATGTATCTGTTTATAGACTTCTTGATATGTGTGGTCAGGCCACCTCACTCCTCTAGGTATCCTCATCTGATTGGAGGTGTATGGGTTCCTTACACTGACAAACCTCATTCTCCTTTGATAATATCATTACAGACTATGTGAGTTCATCTATGTTTTGTGTTAATATATATAATATGATGCAAGGTCACATATACATACACATTAAACTCTTTTTTTTTTTTTTTTAACATTTTGTATTGCAGGAGCAATAAAGAGTATTGTTCTGCAATACAATGCTTTCTTTGATCCGTCATGAATGGGTTAAAGTGGAGTTCCAGTTGAATAAAAAAAAAAAAATAAAAGCCAGCATCTACTAAAGCTTCAAAGCCGGGTGCCCACTGCACATGTGCGAGTAGCGCTGCACTTTGTGAATGGTTCCGTAGTCTTCTGGGACCTGTCACGTGTCCCAGAAGACTACAGGGAGGGAGGGTGGAGAGCAACTTACTCTTACCTTAGATGATCGCACCGGAAGTTGGAGTGAGAACCTGTCAAATTCAGGCACCCCCTCCCTTCCCGCTCCACAGAGGTATCAATCCTTAACGGGGAGCACAGGAAAAAGCCTTAAAGCGGATCTTCCCCTATTGAGTGGAGCTCCGTTTTAAGTTCATGACAGTTCAAAAGGCAGTGATCTGTGATTGTCTCCACCTGGTCACATGGCACAGGGTGCTGTGATTGGCCCATGTACCATGTGAGAGCTGTGGCCAATCTCAGCTGTCCAGGAACAGTAGCAAAGCTGTTATGAATCAGATCGATTCATAACAGCTTTGCTAGGTTTGTGATCATGTGATCCACATTCTGCTGTGTCTGGTGGACACCCCGAGTGCGGGGGGGGGGGGGGGGGGGGCGTGCAGTGCCCTCCTGTGTTAGTACAAGCAGAGCGATGTATTGATACAATGTACTGTAGTTTCCGCTGTCCGCAGAAGTACAGCAGGCATTGGTTGATGCCCAATCACAGTAGAGTAGGCAGTTGGAGGCTCAGAAACATAAATAAATGTTGTAAGCTTGCTTCCGATTTGGGACGTGCACGCACATACCGCCTGCTGACCCCCCGTTGTCGTTGGACGCAGCACAATTTTGTCAGCAGGGGTCAGCCATGATTTATGGCTGAGACCTGCTGGTCGGATATGGCCAATCACAGCGCAGAGCCCTGTGTTAACAAACACACAGGTCTCTGTACACAGAGCAGCGATCTGGCTGTTTCTTCTCCCTGCAAAGCAGATCTATGTACCCCAACCAATTATTAGGAAAAATATACCTGTATATACCCATATACACCAAGTATTTGAGCCTCTGGTACTGTTGTGGTGGAATAATGATCTCCAATAACCCCAGCCAACTGTCCATGGTCCATGCAGCAATAATTAGGAACTGTTTTATTTGGTCCAGATGAAATATGTAAAACACTTCTTACAGCCAATCTCGTATCAATACACGAATCCAATGCATGCCAACCCAATGTGATATTTGGTAAAATATCCGGACTCCGATTAATTTCATCAATGGCGTAGAAGAAAATGAGAAGATGTATAAATGTTTGGGTAGTTGGGCTATAAAGATAAATTATTTTAATTTAAGACACATCAAAATCTTATTTTTTTTTTATTTCTTAAGTTAGCTTTTCTATCTTATGATTTTTGACCCTGGAGTTGGGCTTCTAAACATGTGCATTTATTTACTGACAAACCATCGCAACAAGCGGATGATTACATAAACCTCCATTTATATTCAGTGTTAAAGTTGCTGTATAACAAAACTTGATACATTGAAGGAAGGGACTAGAATAGAAACTCCTCCTTATTTAACCACTTGCCTACCGGGCACTTATACCCCCTTCCTTACCAGGCCAATTTTCAGCTTTCAGCGCTGCCGCACTTTGATTGACAATTGCGCGGTCATGCAACATTGTACCCATATGAAATTTTGATCATTTTTTTTCTCACAAATAGAGCTTTCTTTTGGTGGTATTTAATCGCCACTGGGCGCTTTACTTTTTGCACTATAAAAAAAAAAATGCAAAAAATTTGAAAAAAAAAAAAAAGTTTCTTTGTTTCTATTATAAAATTTTTCAAACAGGTATTTTTTTTTGTCCTTCACTGATGGCGTTGATGAGTCAGCACTGATGGGCACTGATAGGCAGCACTGATGGGCACTGATAGGCAGCACTAAAGGGCACTGATAGGCAACACTAATGAGGTGGCACGGATAGGCGGCACTGATAGACAGCACTAATGAGGTGTCACGGATAGGCGGCACTAATATGCAGCACTGATAGGCGGCACTGATAGGTGACACTGATGATGGGTACATAGACGGCACTGACTGGCATCACTGCTGGGCACTGACTGGCGGCACTGACTGGCACAACCCCTGGGCACTGACTGGTGGCACTGACTGGCAGCACTGCTGGGCTGCACTGGTGGGTGGCACTGGTGGGCAGCACTGGTGGGTGGGCACAGGTGGGTGGCACTGGTGGACACAGGTGGGTGGGCACAGGTGGGTGGCACTGCTGGGCACAAGTAGGTGGCACTTCTGGGCACAGGTGTGTGACACTGCAGAGTGGCACAGGTGGGTGCACTGCTGGGCACAGGTGGGTGCATGCTGGGCACAGGTGGGTGATCTGCTGGGCACAGGTGGGCGGAGCTAGTGGGCGCACTGCTGGGAACAGGTGGGCGGAACTTGCGGGTGGCACTGCTGGGCACCGATCATCAGGGCACTGATCATCAGTGCCCTGATGATCGGTGCCGATTCCCGCTCTGACAACTGCCGGTTCTCGGCAGTACTTTCCTCACGATCTGACAGCGTGAGGAAAGTGCAGCCGAGAACCGGAACTTGCATTTCCCTCTGATCAGCGTGTCATTGGACACCGCTGATCACGTGGTAAAAGGCCGCTGTGATTGGCCTTTTACCACATCACGTGAACAGCTGTGTCCGTAGGACACAGCAATCACGGAGATCGCCTGGTGCACGCCCCCCTGGGGCGCGCAGGAGAGCGCGTTCTGGGAGGACGTCATATGACGTCCACTCAGAACTGGCCGGCCTAGCAGTGCAGCCGTCATTCGGCTATCTGCGGTTGGCTACTAGTTAACAGGGACGAGCATCAAACACAAAATTGACATTTACCTCCAACTGGTGGATTTGGCTGAATTGTGGGTAGTGAATTTTGGTGAAAGTGACATCAGGAAAAGACAGAGTGGCCCATCAAGTATGCCCATCTTTTTTGGGGGGGAGTATAGATCTATGCTTGTACCACGCATGTTTGAAGCTATGTACTGTTGACTGACTATACTTCTGCTGTAAGTTTTTTCCAAGCATCAACTACTCTTTTAGTAAAATAGTACTTTCTGAGATTAGTTTTGAACTACCCTCCACTTAGTTTAGGGTCATGTTCCCGTGCTCTTGATTTTGGTTTCATGTTGAAAATACTGTCCTCCTGAACCTTATTCACCCCTTGATGTATTTAAAGGTTTCAGTCATGTCTCCCCTTTCCCTTCTTTCATCCAGACTACGTGTTAAGTTCCTGAAGTCACTCTTGATATGTTTTATCCCCCAGACCTTTCACCATTTTTGCAACCCATCTCTGGACTCATTCTGTCTTATCAATGAGGTCTCCAGAACTGGACACAGTATACTAAATGAGGTCTAACTAAAGATTTACAGTGCTTTGAGAAAGTATTCATACCCCTTGAAATGTTCCACATTTTGTCATGTTACAACCAAAATGTCAATGTATTTTATTGGGATTTGATGTGATAGACCAACACAAAGTGGCACATAATTGTGAAGTGGAAAGAAAATGATAAATGTTTTTCAAAATTGTTTACAGATTAATCTGTGAAAAGTGTGGTGGCATTTGTATTCAGCCCCCCCGGAGTCAATACTTTGTAGGACCCCCTTTTGTTGCAATTCCAGCTGCAAGTATTTTTGGGGATGTCTCTACCAGCTTTGCACATCTAGAGAGGGACATTTCTGCCCATTCTTCTTTGCAGAATAGCTCAAGCTCTGTCAGATTGGATGGAGAGCGTCTGTGAAGAGCAATTTTCAAGTCTTTCCACAGATTCTCAATTGGATTTAGGTCTGACTGGTACATTCTAACACATGAATATGCTTTTGATCTAAACCATTCCATTGTAGCTCTGGCTGGATATTTTGGGCCATTGTCCTGCTGGAAGGTGAACCTCCACCCCAGTCTCAAGTCTTTTGCAGACTCTAACAGGTTTTCCTCTAAGATTGCCTTGTATTTGGCTCCATCCATCTTCCCATCAACTCTGACCAGCTTCCCTGTCCCTGCTGAAGAAAAGCATCCCCACAACATGATGCTGCCACCACCATGTTTCACGGTGGGGATGGTGTGTTCAGGGTGATGTGCAGTGTTTGTTTTTCACCACACATAGCGTTTTGCTTTTAGGCAAAAAAGTTCAATTTTGGTCTCATATGACTAGGGAACCTTCTTCCATATGTTTGCTGTGTCCCCCAAATGGCTTCTCGCAAACTGCAAATGGGACTTCTTATGGCTTTCTTTCAACAATGGCATTCTTCTTGCCACTCTTCCATAAAGGCCAGATTTGTGGAGTGCACGACTAATAGTTGTCCTGTGGACAGATTCTCCCACCTGAGCTGTGGATCTCTGCAGCTCCTCCAGAGTTCCCATGGGCCTCTTGGCTGCTTCTCTGATGAATGTTCTCCTTGCCCGGCCTGTCAGTTTAGGTGGATGGCCATGTCTTGGTAGGTTTGCAATGGTGCCATACTCTTTCCATTTTTGAATGATGGATTGAACAGTGCTCCGTGAGATGTTCAAAGCTTGGGATACTTTTTATAACCTAACCCTGCTTTAAACTTCTCCACAATTTTTTTCCCTGACCTGTCTGGTGTGTTCCTTGGCCTTCATGATGCTGTTTGTTCACTAATGTTCTCTAACAAACCTCTGCGGGCTTCACAGAACAGCCGTATTTATACTGAGATTAAATTACACACAGGTTGACTCTATTTACTAATTAGGTGACTTCCGAAGGCAATTGGTTCCACTAGATTTTAGTTAGGGTTATCAGAATAAAGGGGGCTGAATACAAATACACTTTTCAGATATTTATATGTACAAAATTTTGAAAACCATTTCTCATTTTCCTTCCATTTCTCAATTATGTGCCACTTTGTGTTGGTCTATCACATAAAATCACAATAAAATACATTAAAATGTTTGGTGTAATATGACAAAATGTCAAGGGGTATGAATACTTGTATATAGGGGAATCAGGACCTCCTTCCTCCTGCTGACGATCCCTCTAGTGATACATCCTAGAATTCTGTTTGCTTTCCCCACTGCCTGGTCACACTGTTTGCTCATTTCGCAATCATCTGAAATAAGTACCCCCAAGTCCTTTTCCTCTGTAGTGCTGGCCAACTCTGTACCCCCAATGTCGTACTCTCTGAAGGGATTTTTTTTCCCTAGGTGCGTGATTTTACATTTAGAAATATTGAACTGCAATTTCCACTTTTTTGACCAATCTTCCAGCAATGCCAAATTACAGACACCTCCAGGGACATCAACCCTATTGCACACCTTTGTGTCATCAGCAAAAGACATACCTTACCCAACAAACCTTTAGTTATATATAACTACATTGCCTTTGACCTTGGTCTGAAGCTTCGAGCAGCCAATAATGGAGATGATTGATAACCCAGCCTCTCACTACAGAAAGGTTAGTGGAGAGTAGTTATAGGGTTGATTCACAAAGAACACACATAGCCATTTCCCAGTGAAAGTGCACATTCATTTGCTCATTTGAATAGGGGGAAAAAAAGAATGTAGATAGGATTCTTCTGTGTTGGTTGAACATAAATAATTTATTTTATATGGAAAATATCTTTTTCCATTTAAAATCAATGATTTATAATTGAACTCTACCATATATATTCAAAAGACATGCTGGTAGGTTATTGTCTCCTGTCTAAATTGTCCCTACTATGTGTATGTATGAATATAAGTTAGGGGCCTTAGACTGTACGCCCCTTGAGGGTTAGGGACTGATGTGAATGTACAATATATGTATGTAAAGTGCTGCGTAAATTGACAGCGCTATATAAGTACCTGTAATAAATAAATAAATATATAGTCAATTTACATTCGTTATTGTGCCCTATTCACAGAGAATGAATGTAAATGCAGTTTAATTGGGCAAATGGCTATGCAAATTCTTTATAAATCAACCCCATAATGTTGGAGCTGCATTAGTGAGAGGACAGGGTAAACCTTATTTTTAAAAGAAAAAAAGTATAAAAAACAACGTCCACCGAAAACACCTCACACTATCACTTAACCACTTGCAGCCCACTAACAGTACATATACTGCTAGCAGGTGGCACAGCCAGGCATGGCAACAAATCTGTATGTTATCTCCTGGCTTTTGGATTTGCGTCGCGTAGGTGCGCCCCCCCAGCTGACCTTTGCTGTGATTGGCTACAGCACATGTTTTTCAACAGGTTTCGGCCAATACTTTTGGCTGTGAACCTGCTGATTGGCTATAGGATCTGGCCGGTTCTTCTGTCCGTGAACCTGAGAGAGAAGAAAATCAGACTTGTGTGAGTAGAAGCAGCACATGTACACTTGCATACACTGGTTAGGCACATTTAACCCTTTGATTGCCCTCCAGTTAACCTTTTGATTGCCCTTTCACCAGTGTCATTAAAACAATGTACAGTATTCACTGATCACTGTACTAGTGTCACTAGTGACATCAGATAGCATCAGAGTCAGTTAGCTCCCCTCCCAGCCAGGGTCAGTTAGCTCCAAGTTGCCCATCACACTATCGCAGTAAAGCTATAAGTCACTGATCACTGCCACTACTAGTATAGTGTCTGTAACGATCAGTATCTTGATCAAGGTAAGAACTATATTAGTGTCCCCAATAGTATTGTCATGCACCAGGAGGAATTCAGGTCCCACTGCACCAGAATAGTGTCTGACAATGGGTCCAAGGATTTCATCCCCATACCTAATGGCAGTGAGGGTGCCATTGTCTAGCCTGTAGAGGTCTGTGCATTCCTCCATGGATATGCCTCCCCAAACCATCACTGACCCCACCACCAAAACGGTCATGTTGAATGATGTTACAGACAACATAACATTCTCCACGTTTCTCCAGACCCTTTCAAGTCTGTTACACGTGCTCAGGGTGAACCTGCTTTCATCTGTTAAAAGCACAGGGCACATGCATGTGTGTTTGAGCTTTGCAATAGACTGCACACACCTATGGTTGAGGGGTCTTTGGGCAGAGAGCTTATCAGTATCTGGAACCCGCTTAAAAAAAATAAGGTGGCCCCCATATCCCAAATGAAAGGAAAATCCTTCTGCGCTCAATGGAGACCAAACCTATTTGTTTAGCTGCTGTCACTCTACTCTTAACCACCAAGTTGAATCAAATAGAAAATTTAAATAGTGAAACGCTTAAACCATAAAAACTATTTTCAAAATGTGCTACATATACTATATTACAAATAAAAAACAATCAATAAATCATTTCCATATAATGTGCAGTAACACCTCCTCCCAACAGGGGGAGTAAAAAATTGTGCTATTTAATTTTCTGTTTGATAATGAAACAGATAACAAATAAGTCATAAGTGCAAAACAATCTGTGCAT